CACACACACACACACACACACACACACACACACACACACACACACACCTTTCCAGAAAGCATACCCTCCCTCCTCAGGTTCCCATCTGCCCTCCCACCCTTCAACCAGGACAACTGTTCCAAAACACAACTCCCTCCAGAAGTAGGGATTTTGTTCACATTGAAAAGGGATGAAGAAAGCGAAACCACCACCCATGGTCTTCCAGTGTCCACATAACCAAAGTACCCGAGTACAGTCTCTAGAGACACAGCAGGAGTCACATCACCTGAAGGCTTTGACTGTGCCAAGCAACATTTTGCCACAATACAGCCTATTCCCAAGGCCACTTGCCAAACCAAGAGGCAGGAGGAATTCTTCCTGCCACAGCTCGGCACTTGGAAGCTGAGTTTAGACACTCTGGGTTTCATTCCATGGCAACCATATCCAGGGTTACACAGGAACAGCTGAGCTCCTCCCATTTGGACAAACCAAACCACCGATGCTAATGCTCCTGACAGGGAACAATTCAACATAAGATGTCTTAGCTGCGCAGGATTGGCACGATGGGTCCAGGACTCCAAGCAACTGCCTAATGCCATCCTACTATAATGTGGCCAACCTTTAAAATTTCCAGATTAACACAGTTGATCCTTTGTGGAGAGAGCCCCGCTAGACTCCTAATCCTGTTTTCTAGCTAGATGACCAAATGAACAGATGAATTTCTGACCTCTTGTCTTTTTCTAACCCAAGGCTGAAACCATATGCCTTCCTAGGTTTTCATCTACCTGCTTTAAACACTGTGGAGGGTGAGCAGAGAGAGAGATGAAGGATGCCTCACAATGTTTTCATCACATGTTCAGGAATGGACCACTCAGTCAGCTGAATAAATAATCAATCAATGAAACGACAATGCTGGAACCTTAGGTAAAATAATCCTGGAGAAAAGAATTTTTTTTTTAATTTTAGCATTCTGTACAGACAGAAATAAGAGAATGAAACATAAATGTGAAAAGTTTAAGATTCAATCTGTATTGTATGTAACTCCTCTATCATATTCCATTATCAATTAAAAAAAAAAACAAAACCCCACCAACCACTACAGAAATAAGTCAACTGAAATCATGAGAGAACCAAAAAGCACTTCATAATAAAATATATCCAACTCTGAGAAGAACTGCTTGCTGGTGTCTTCACATCCTTCTCTTCTGTGTACTTATGTACAGCACTGAAAAGACAAAAAAGAACTGAGTCACTCTGGAGTGTCACAGGAGCAGTTTTAAAGGCAGTGGGACCTAGCCCACATCTCTGCATGCTTTCAAAGACTCCTTATACCATGCAATGGAAGGTCACTATACACGAGTTTTGAGTTTACACCCAGCTTTGATATCTTAAAAGATTACAACTAGTTTTACCTGTGCATGATACTGACTTTAAAAATTAGAAACTAAAAGGAATTAAAAGGGAAGTGAAGGTGCCTAGAATTTAGGAATGTTTTGTAATTAGCTTTCAGTAAATCAGTAATCTTTCAGGCTAGACCTCAGCTTAGGAATGAGTAGCCCATGTGGCTGGAGGGATGGCTCATCATTTAAAGAGCACTTGCAGACTTCACAGAGCACCAATGCTGGGTCCCCAGGGCCTGCAAAACGGTTCACAACCAGCTGCTTACATGCATGAGACAAACTCTCTCTCCCTTTCCCTCTCTCTCTCTCACACACACACACAAAGAGCATACTTTCATGCATCTCTCTAGCATAAACTGTAGTTTACTTTTACTATTTCCATGGGAGAAAAAAATAAGGTATTTTTAAGACAACAAAGTCCTTTATTGAGATTGCTACATCATTATCAACCTTCGGTGGCATCCAATGTTTAATTTAATCATACTGAACACAGTAGAACCTGTGCTGCATGGAGATAGGAAAAAAGGGGGCAACTGGGCACTGGTCAAGCTATTCCTTAAAGTGTACCCTTTTCAACCATCCCACCTATCCTCAGAAACTGACAAACTTGTTCAAGTGAACAGTCCATGTCTCAGTCAAAGAGCCCAGCACAGACCAAGTGAACCCCTCTTTAAGAGCCAAACATGAGTTGTGGGAATAACAACTGTTCCTAACGACAGCATGGAGGGGATAATCAGAGTATGAGGAAAGCCAGAGAACCTAGACAAGGTGGGTGGATGTCACTAGAGGAGTATCTCTTGCTGTGTGTGGCTGCCATCAGCTATCTTGAGGAGAGATAGGACCATAATATTTCCAAGCAAAAGAAGGAAGTCAACTAAGAATAATATGAAACAGAAGAAATTCTACTGAAATGCAAGCAAGAGATGTATATAAAAGTCAGGATATTTAGTTCCTGACAAACCCTTATTTTAAAGGCTATTAGAAGATTCTCACACTCAGAAGAAATAAAAAAAAATAAAAAATAAAATAAAATAAAAAAAGGAAAAGAAAAGAGTTCCACCTGGGGATGACACCTAAAAGTGGGCTGAGGATTAATTCCTAGCATCTTGATGCTTTCCCCAGCCCCAAAGTATTCAAATATGATTTTTAGCAACAATTTGTATTCTGAAATGAAGTAACTTAAAATGGACAAACATGGCAGCTGCTGAGCCTTGGCGCTTGAGAGCCATGCTCTCTACTTGCCACTCCTGATAGACTGAAAGGCAAAGAGCCCAGAGAGGGAACCTGAGTCTTTAATAGAGAAGGACAGGGCAGGCGAAATGCCAAGGGCTGTGAAGGGGGCACAGGAATAGCTTCTACTTAACAGAGAGTACAGTAAATGATTACGTAAGACAGCAGGGCCTGGTCAGTACACCAGTATCCCTCCGCTCCTCACCAAGAGAGTGAGAAAGAAAATGTCCACTTCCAAAATTCCATGGAAAATTCTCTTTCCACTCACAAACAGAACTGGCTTTTCCTAACAACCTAAAACAGAACCACAGAAAGCAAACAGAAGTGAGAGGCAGCTTTATAATTATCTAGAAACAACCAGTGCTCTCTATTACAAGCAGAAACAGCTTATTCCGATCACTATACTGCGGAGGAAGCTGTTACCATTGTTTCCTCGGATGAACGCATCCCCATACTTATTCTTCAGCTGTCCATTTACATACTCTTCCGTCTGTTCCAATGCTATATTCATGTAGCCATCCAGGCAGGCCAGGACCCCTGGAGAAAAGTAAGAAAGAATTGAAAATTATAGGGTATATCTTAGAACCAACAATCACTTTATTCATTAGCCTTCAGACACATAATATAAAAATTCACACTGTAAACAAAAGGCGCCTTTACTCTGTGCCAATCCGAATGAAGGCTGGACGGGCATAGCATGAGAGGAGTCATGCATCTACTACTCCAAGACAGGCAGCCAACTGTCACTCCCCTCCTGGTATGTGGGATCACCACAGCAACTTTAAAACCCTTCACAAAAGTATAAGCATTAGAATATTCCAACCAAAATACCCTTCTTTGAGAGCTAGGGACAGACATGGCAACTATGCATGGACAAATGAGCCTCCATCCCAGTGACATTTGTTACTTTAGCCACTCAGTGAAATACGAATCTGGCAGATTTATCTCCCTCTTTCACAACACGCACTGCAGCAGATGAATGTACTCGGGGTGGAGAGAAAGTCTCCACAATCTGTTAAGATAATAGACAACAGGTGCTTCTGGAAGAACATCTCAAAGCTGTGACTCCCAGTGAAGAGCAGCTTGAGAACAGACTAACATATTGCATTACAACACATTGTGTTCTGTTTGTCAGTTAGACTATTTTAAAGTCAAAACTAATAGAGAAAAACGGCTACCAACATTCCAGGGAGCTTTCAAGGAAAACAGTTGGGTGAATCATTAATTGTGCTAAAATAGTATAAATTTCTAAAATCTGACCAGATGACTTTTTCAAAAGATGAAACCAGTAAGCTTCTAATTCTCAGCCTGTGATCTAAAGATATTTTAAAGGAAGAATACAAACATACTACAGATTCAATTCAATCAACTAAGTCAACAGTTCCACATAAAACCTCAACTTCATTAATATGCTCCTCGCTCTCTCTTCTGCCCCATTATCCTCTAAACAGAGGTTTCTTTTCAAAATCGTGTGTGTGTGTGTGTGTGTGTGTGTGTGTGTGTGTGTGTGTAATCAGAGCACAAGACATTAACCGAGCAGAATCCTATGAGAAGCTGTAAGCTTTCAAAGGATCAGACTGGACTGTCAACTATCAAGAACAATAGCTTCCTAGCCAAGCTGAAGACAGTCTCACAGTTTGTTTCTTCTCTATGTTACAGTTAAAGCACAGTCACACACAAGGAAGAAGCTTCCACGATGTGATATGAAATCAGACAAAAGGGTAATACAAAACATAATGTCACCGTTACCCACTGTTAGTAAGAATATCCAGTCTCATTTTAAAAAGTTAAGAGCTAAAAAGGAGGGGAGGGCGGCAACTGTGCTTAGCTGTAGGGCATTTGCTTAGGATGTGTAAGGCCCTGGGTTTAATCACCCATACTGCAAAGCCAAACACAAAACAAAACCTGCTCAGGATATTGAAGTTGTGAGTCCTACTGTCCTCCAAGAGCAAGAGGTGAAATAGCAGAAACAAGCAAACTCTCCAAAGCTGGCGATCACAGGATGCTGGTCCCCTCCTCTTCCCTTCATTATGTAGACAACTCTGCCTCCTCTGCCTCCTCGAGCTGAGGCTGAGTTTGTGCACCACCTCACACAGCCCCTTTTCTTTCTGGTTAGAAAATTATTACTTAGTGTAGTAAGGAAAAACAATCAGACTGTATAGACGACCCTCCTATGTGGCATGGGGAATTATCTCCACACAGTAGAATGCAGGGAATCCTTGCTGTCCAGCACTTGCCTGGAAGACCTAAGCAACAAACTACAGCATGCTTTGTTACTTCTATAAACAGAACAACGGTAAGACAGCTAACCTCTTCAAAAAGTACTCCATAGGACAGGTCTGCCTTACCAGCTGTCAAGCACATGGAAATCCCAAGACTGTTTCCTCCTTTGAGCTTACCCAAAGTTTACAGCTGAAAACTGGGCAAGGTGGAACACACGGCCATAATTCTAACACAGAGCCAAAGATGTTACCTGAGCAGAATCCTATGAGACGTGGTAAATTTTCAAAAAATCAGCCCAGATTGTCAGCTATCAAGACTGATAACTTAAGACAGAATTTCAGTTTGTTTCTTCTCTACTTCATTACATTTAAAGCACAGGCATAGACTACTTCTAGGATATGATATGGGATTAGCCATGAGTGATGTTACTATTACTGTTGGTGAGCGGGAGGTGGGAGGGAACCAATAGACAGAACGTGCTTGAAGACAGCTGGTATCACAGTAAGACACTTACTTAAAAGCAAGTAACCAACCAAACCAAAAAGATTGCCTATAGGCCATTAATGCCAAGAACTAAAACAATGTGATTTCCCCCTTTATTTACTTATTATATTAAGATCCCACTTTACTTTTAATGATGTGTGCGTGTGTAGAGAGGACAAAGGTGTTGGATCCCCTGGAGCTGGAATTACAGGAGGCTGGGAGCTGGCCACTGTGGGCACTGGCATTTGAAGCCAGGTCCTCCGCATGAGGACCGCACTCAGAGCTGCAGAGCCATTCCTCCAGCCCCTCCCCTCCATTTCTGCAGTGCTGGGGACGGAACCCTCCTACATGAACTCCCATTCCTGTGCTGGGTCCCAGTGCCTTACTAAATACTTGGGTTTACACGTGTGAGTGTTGCGCCTGCGTGTGCACTATCTGGTGCCCAGGGAGGCCAGAGGTGGCATCAGACCCCTCAGAACTGGAGTTACTGTCAGTTACGTGGGTGGCAGAACTGAATCTGGGTCCTCTGCAAGAGCAGCCAGTGCTCTTACATGCTAAGCCAGATTTCCAGCCCCTCCAGTGATTTCCTAACAAAGTTTTCCAGTCAAGCTTGATGAAGTGCTAGCTCCCCACATCCTAGGTGAGAATAACCACAAAATTTCACAGACTTTATGGAAAACAAAGTGACAATGTATTAAAGTAATCAACACATGCTGGGGTACGTGTAAATGTGTGGGGAAAGAAAAACCTTGAAAAAACTTAGAAAAAATGGCTATAAAAATTTGTTGATGAATTAGTCATCACTCTTTACAAAACAGTCTAAGTAGTTTAGCACATCTTAATTTGAGAAGAATAGAAACTTCCTAAGTTTTAAAACAGAATCTAATGTTATTCCATGCAACTATATTTTTAAGTTGCTGAGACTCAAATCCAAGCTCTGAGTTACAGCTCCAACCCTATAAAACACCAAGTTCACCCTTAGCGGCCTCTGCCTTGTTTTCAGAAGTATTACCTTTTCAGGTTTTTGTGTTTGTTTTTGTTTTGAAACAGGGTCTTATGTAGCTCAGGCTTGCCTCAAAATGAGATGTAGCCAAAGCTATCCTCAAACTCTGAATCCTCCTGTCTCTTCCAGTGCTGGGATCACAAGCTAGCACCCAGAGCTCCTTAAAAAGTGGTCTCTATAGGAACAGAAAAGCATCTTTGGATATATACTGTATGACTGAGAAGGTCATGATGTAAAATGACTCTGTCTAAATAACAGCTTGCCATCAAAAACAAGTGCTGCTGAACCCAGGTGCTCTTTGGCCCCAGCTCTTCATAGCAGTGTTGACTGTGACTCCTAAGCTTGTGTCAGGAACTTAGGCAGATGCGATCTCAGGACAGACAGGAGACAGAATTCACACAAACACTGCACACACTGCTGGCAAGCTTCTCACTATAAAAGGAACCACCTCAGGGGCAGAAGACAGTCAAACTGTCAATGAGCAACACAGTTAGCCAACTGGGTACATTTACGAGGTCTTTCACATTTTCCTCTTTTAGTTATGCCAGCTAGGATCAAACATGAAAATACTACCTCGGTAATCCACGCCAGAATTTAATTTCACCACAACGGGCCGCCCGATGATCTGCTTCAAGAAGTCACTAGGGGTTTGCTTCCGCAGACTCATTTTTAACAATCCTGATCAGAAATAGGAAAGAGCAACAAATGTACATACTGAAGTTAATTAGTCACAAAAAAGCCAAAGAAAACTCTTGAGCCTTTAACGTGTCTGTAGAGAACCAACCATCAAAGGCCTTGTATGATGTATTGCTACACATGACAACTGTGGTGGCACCTCACCCAGCCCCGCAGTACAGGCCATGGCACCAGCTTGGAGCTATTTCGCTAATCACTTGTCCTACTGTGCCAATACCGCATAGCCACCATGAGCTCAGCGCAGCCAATGCATGGACACTTGTTCTACGCAGACAACTCTGATAACATCTGCAGTCCCTGTGAGAACCCTGGAAGGCCCAACACCCCCACTTTACTGGTGAAAACCGGATGGAAAAGTCAAATAACGTGTACAAGTTGCAGTGGAACAAAAATACAACAGGATATTTAAGTTAAATTTAACTTAAAGACAACATTATACAAAGCAGGCCCACAGCCATCAGCAACCGGTACCCAAACGTTTCCCTGAAAAGTCCTGAGACCTGAAGTGAACAGACACACCAGCACTCTTCCAGGCACTTTGTATGTACTGACTCATTTAAACTTCACCATCCAATGAGCCAAGTATTAACGTGTGCTGTGTGTGTGAAGAAGTGACACTCTCATACAGAGTGTGGTGGCTAGAGGCTGACACTGCGTACCTTCCTCAGTCTCTGTCCACCTTATTTTTGAGGCAGGGTTTCTCACTGGGCCCAAAACTTACCGGTTTGGCTAGACTGGCTGGCCAGGGAGCCACCTCAGCGCCCCCATCTGCCTGTCTCTGCTCTCCAGCGCTAGAAAACTCTTGAGCATGCTGCCATACCAAGCTTTTTACATGGGTGCAGGGAGCTGAGGTCATTGTGCTTGCTCAGCACACACTTCCTGCCAGCCATCTCCCCAGCTCTGACAGGTCTTTATCCTCATTTTACAGGTTGATAAACACCCTGCTTAAGGTCACGGATCGTTAAGTTAGATTTTGAATTGTTCAGTTATAATTATGGCAGGACTGCTCTAAGTACCAAGGGGAAAGTCCTGAGAATTCATACCTAGGAGTCTAAAACACAGACACAGCACTGCAAACACAAATTAACTGGACCAGGCACATAAAAGTTGGCCATTGTATCTTTCAAACTTTATCTTGTTACGCAACAGCTACCACTCAAAAATATTTCAATAAATAAAAGAAAATACTAGTCACAAGCAAAAATCATAGACTAGAAATTGGTTTTTGTTTCAGTGAAGTTCAGCAACAACTCTTACGCAGCTGCGTAAGTCTTATGTGTCATAAGACTTAAAAGTTGGCATAGATACACTATTTTAAGGACTCACCACACTCCCAACTCTACATTTCTGTTTTCCATCAGAACTGTACATCCTTCTACAAACAGCACTGCTGACTTCACCCCGAGTATACCCCCCCAGTGCAGCCAGTGCTGTGAAGATGCTCTCCATGACCAAGAATGCAGAGGAGCCACCTGGGGAAGCCACAATGCTATGTGACAGATTTCTTACCAATTCAACAAAAGTGTTCACCTACAGACTATGCAAAGCAATTAAAAAATGTATGCCAGAGTTTCACTGCAGGAACTTAGAATCGGGAAGTTATACACCGTGTGTTCATGTTAATGAACATGAACAAAGCAAAGGGACAATAATTAAAAAAAAATAATTCTCTTTACCCAAGAAGTACTCAAATCAAATAAAATATAAATTTTGGAAATGATCACTTGGGCCATCCACAGGTGCTACCCTCAAAGATTCAAAGATTTTTTTTAAAGTCATCAACTGATTATTTTACTCAGCAAATTTTAACTTTTCCACTAAGCTGCTAGCTTTTTTTTTTTTTTTTTTAATTTTTATTTTAGCTTCACAATCTTAACAGATAGGTAAAACTACAACTGCTATTATCCAAGACTCTGGCCATACAACAACTTTATTTATGTTGTTTTCAGTGCAAAGAGAAAAATGGCAAGTAAATACTGTAACAGATTCAGTATTTTTCATGAGTTTAGTAAAAACAAAGAAATGTTTCCATTGATCTACAAGTCTCACACTTGTATCCGGCACAAATGCTGTTTTATAGCTAACTACCCAGACTCATCTCGAGTCTTGGAGTTCCAATCAGAGGTCAAATCCCACAACTCTAGTTCCTTCATGTACAATCCAAAATATAAAAAGATCTATTTTGCATTAAAAACCAAAACAAAAACCTAGCAAGGCTGCACCGTGGCTCAGTGCTTGCTGTTTCCGTGTTAGGGCCTGAGCTTGGATCCAGATCATGAAAAGGTAAGTGCACTGGGTCACTTCTGTAACTCTGGCACTAGGGGGCAGAGACAGGAGGATCCCAGGGGCTTGCCAAGACAATGAGCTCCAGGTTCACTGAGACCATGAGCACAGTAAAATAGACCACTGGCCTACAAAAGGGAATGCGCGCGCGCGCGCGCGCACACACACGCACACACACACACACACACACACACACACACACATTTTTTAGCTCATAGTAAATGTAGAATTTGTTTTTCAGCATAATAGTACTTATTAGGAAAAATGGAAGCCACTTATTTAGAAGGTGAATCTCTGCACAATCTTATTCTACAGAGAAAAATCAATGTCGACAAATGCATATTTTACTTACACTGCTGCTCACATATTTAACTAAGGTAAAAAATGAATGTAAATGCATTGGTGCTTAAACTATGCCATGGCATGTGAACACACATACTGACTCCATGCGGATCACTGTTTTTCTCTACATTAGAAAGTCTATACAGTTGGTCAGAGATTGCCCAGAGCCTAATAACATGTATTTCTCTTGCAGAGGAGCCAGGTTCCATCCCCGGAACTTACATCAGGTGAACACAACTGCTCATAACCTCAGTCGCAGGGAGTGGAATCCCCAAATGAAGGGGTTACTAACTTCACCTGAACTTCACACCACTTATACTTTAACATGAAAAAGCTACTGAAATACAAACACCAACGGAGGCTTGACAGTACTCACTGCATTAACAACGTTAACTCTCTGTGCCTTTTAGGGAAGCAGAAACACTCCTCTAACGCTGCTCTGGAGCCTCGTCTTTACTTCAACTACCATCAGTGTCTCCCTAGGGCAACCAACATATTCATGGCGTGCCTTCTAAGGCTCAGGTGTAGGCTAGGGTGCAGCAGGTAAGATGTGGCCCTGGGTCCTTGGAGTTTATCCTCCAGAGGGATAAAAACACAGAAGCAAACAATTTCATAAAGGCTATATGCTTTTGGGTAGAATTATATACGGAGGTCTGCCAAGAGAAGACTGAACTCAGACATGGTATACCAAAGAAGGATTTCTGAACACCTAAGCCAAGTTTGACACAGTCCACCAGCTGCAGACAGAGAAGCCATAGCAAAGGCACTGGGTAGTTCAGGTTTGAAAGTAAAATTTACACACACAAAGGAGAGAGCTGTAAGAGCACAGTGCCACGTTCATTCCTGGGTAACGGAGCATGAGTTCTGGGTTAGCTTCCCCAACCAGAACCAAGGGACCATTAGGAGGGTCCAGTCAGCAGGTCTGGACCAGGACCAGAGAGTCTGTGTGCCCGATCCTAGATTCTTATCAATTGGCTGGTTGGAGAGCACCATGGTCAGTAAGAGGAGGGCACAGGAAAATCCTCCCAAGTAGGAATCGGCTTGGCTCCTCCTCCTATTTCAGGCAGCAGCACAGACAGCAATAGTTCTGGACTCCTATAGTTTTATTTTTAGTTTACTTGTTCCCCCCCATATGTGTCACTGTAAGAAATGGCTCAGCGGTTAAGAGCACTGTCTGCTCTTCCAGGGGTCCTGAGTTCAATCCCCAGCAACCACATGATGGCTCTCACTATCTACACTCTTTCAAAAAGATAGGCCCTCTTCTCTAAAGACTTGAAGCCACATGAAAGGAGCAGCTGAGCAAGCCCCTCCTCTGCTCTCTATAGCACATCCTGCTGGATGGCTGGAAAAGGATGTTTTTGAAGTTATATGAACAAGCATGGTTGCCTCAGACTCAATTTATTCATCACCCGGAAAGCCAGACCCTTTGCATTAGTCTTCATTAGGCTTCCTTGGTATTCCCTGTTACTTAATGACTTGCCCATAAATCCATTTTGTACAAGTAAATTGGTCTTGACACCACAATTTTTCCCATCACTTGGCTCAAGTAATTTTAAGTTTTCATCTTTTAAATTGGATAAGGCAGAAGGAATAGTTCTGACAATTTCTGAAGCAAGAGATAAGACTCTTGAACCATAAACACAAGAAAAAGACTTCCTTCTGCCAGGGTCACCTTGGTAAAAGTTCTTCCTTCAAAATGAGATACACTCATTCTCTAGGACTGCAGTTCCCATTCTTATGCAGGCTTAAATGACCTATTTTCATAAGTGGATGGTCATGGCACTACTTCCTGTCAGAAGCCACCAAGAGGTCTAATATCAGAGTATCTTCTCCACAGTACCTTTTTCAAAGTTAAACAGTGGAGTGAAGAAGTGGGGGAGGAGGTGTGGTATGCATGTCAAATTTTATTTACCCAATGATATGCTAGCCATACACATCTCCTACAGATTTTACATTTTAAGGAGACAGTAAAAATCTTACATCTCTGGTAGTCTTCACACAGCCACAGACTGACTAAGTGTGGAATAGGTATCAAAGCCAGTATTAAACAAAAGCCCCATCCTAATCCCCTCTTCCTATCTACAAACTACAGGTACAGCTACTAGAGCATCATGTATATACGCCAGCAGCTACTAATCTTCCTTTATTGATGACCATTACAGAACACAAGGAAAACAGAAGCACTGGTGATTAGACACCCTCGCTTACAAACACAGATTTCTGAAGCTTCCTCAGCCAAGACATTGTCCTTTTAGTTTTTCATTGTGTTTTATTCATTTATTTTATCTACTGGGGCAGGGGCAAAAAGCACCTACCACAGTATGCACATGAGTCAGAGGTCAACTTTTGGGAGTCTGTTCTCTCCTTACATTGAGTGGGGACCGGGACTTGAACTCAGGTTTCCAGGCTTGGCCATTTGTGCCCTGGGCATCAAGATACTCAGGTTAATTCCTAAATGCAAGCTGTTCTCAATGAGAGGCGGTTTTTATGATCCCCCCGCCCCCAGTGGGGCGTGCATTTGAAAATGTCTACAAACATTTTGTATTGTCAGGACAGGAGAGTGGTACCTAGAATCTAGTGAACAGAGGCCAAGGATGTCCTTCAACATTCTATAGCGCAGAACAGTGGTTCTCAACCTTCCTAATGCTGTGACCCTTTAATACAGTACCTTATGGTCGGTGCCCCCAACCATACAATTATTTTCACTGCCACTTCGTAACTGTGATTCTGCTGCTGCTATCTGAATATGCAGTGACTCCTGAGGAAGGGCCTGTGGCTCACAGGATGGGGACTGCTGCTGGTAGCACTTTAACGAAGGACTATGTGGTCCGGCATGTCACCTGCCAGGAGCGCTGCCAGGAGGCCCGAACTACCACCACCTCATTCCCTCTTCCTCAAACATGTTTTCGCCTTAAAAAATAAGATATTTTAGAATACGCAAGACTTAAATGAGAACCAGGTGATGAGTAGAGGAACTAGTCACCTCTCTCTATCTGTGGGTTTGTATTTACGAATTCAAGCAACCTTGACTCAGACATGGTGAAATGAAGTTCCGGTTTCATCTGTTACAGGCAGATGAACTTTTCCTTTGTCATACTCCCTACACAATACTCAACTGCAACCATTTACACTGCATGACAGGGTTGTGGGTAATCTAGATGTGAAGAACACAGGAAGACTGCATGGCTTATATGCACACACAGATGTGGAACTTGAACATCTGTGTACTTCTGGTATTGGGAGGGGTAACTGCATTATTTATCATGAGTATTTTATCCCAGCATGGCGAATCTGAAAACAACCATAAACACTTAAAGGGGTTGACATTACCAAAAAATTAAAAAAAAAAAAAAAAAAAAAGTAAATGAATAAAGCTCTAGTGCTGGGCACACACACACACAACAGTGACTTTTCTATTTTCCAGCCCCTCATTTTAAAAGGAGAAAATAGACTAGGGCATTTAAAAATCTTTTTTCCTTTTTTTTTTTTTTTTTTGTTTTGTTTTTTTCTTTTTTAAAAAAATTTTATTATGTAGTGGGCCAGCCTTCGGTGAGAGGAGGGCTAGTACTCACTTGGGAGGCAGGAAGCCCGAGTTCTACCGTACTTAAAGGGCTGTGCAGCTTGGGTGACTCCTCACCATTCCACCTGTCACCGCCCCGGGCTCATCTGTAAAATAAGGGAGTCACGCTAGATGGCTACTGGCTGTCTCTCCCTGTTCTGCACTTGGTTAACTTGACACAGAAAGACAGACAGACAGGCACCACACACACACACGAACACAGACGGAACCACACCGTGCAACTTTAAACAAACTCCCATCGTGACAATTCCAAAGAGTGTGCCTTGCTAGTGTTAGAGACACTAGGAGCTCGCACGGCTTCGGTGAAGGAACGGGTGCCACACACGATGAGGTAAATCACTAACTCTTCAAGAGTGAACCAACCTAGCGATTTCTCTCCTGAGAACCACTCCAGGGAAACAGACTCATGCGCTGAGGGTGGGGAATGATTCACAGCATCGGACGGGATGCTAAAACGAAGCAGAAGCACACCCCAAGAGGAGTAGTTTACGGAGCACTCCGTGCCGCATCTCTCGATGCAAACGGGCATTAAACCTCAAGGCAACTAGTTAAAAGGACGCTGGCCTCGGCCGGCAGACAGGCCCACACCAGAGGAGGAGGAGGCGACCGGCGGGCGCGCCGGCCGGACCGCTTCCACCGCGCTCGGGCTCGCGGAGGGAGGAGGGCGCCGAGGTCCCGCGCCCCCCGCCCCGGCGCTGCCTCCGCCCGGGCCGCGTGGCCTGGGCGCGCCTGGC